AAATAATATTATTACGAGTAAATAAACTGATTAAAGATTAATAAAAAAAACTTATGCACTATTTAATTGTATAATATACCTTTTCTTTTGTACAATTCCTTCCTTATCTCATGCTTATACTTGGTTTCACAATATCGGGAATATATATATAATAAATAATACTAGCAGGTACAATTTTTTGCGTATTTTTATTACAGATGTTCTTCATTACATTAACATAACAAAATCTATACTTTCAAGGTACATGATGATCGTTTTAAAATGATGTCTACCTGTGAGATCTTTAAGGATTATGCGCAGTGTTCAAGCTCCTGCACGGAGCATATTAAGCTAAATTAGTCTTCATTATTTTATTTTATTTTGCAAGTTGTCTTTATTTGTTCTTTCTCTCGCGAGCTTATCGATTATTTATCGAGTCGTCGCAAGTGCTTGGACACTTCGATAAGATTAAAGCGATCACAGACAGAGGCATTCCGGTAGACGAAACGCCGCGAACACCCCGATAGTAAATACAGAGGCTAATATTTTATTTTAAGAACTTCTATGTTACCTGTATCATATGTAAGGCGTTCCCGTCGTTACGACACCTATTTCACGACTCGGAGGCTGCAAATGTAGTGAGTCGAGTTTGTAACGCAAGCTCCGTGTCCCGATTCGTTCTAGATGCGCTCATTTACCTAATGTAATATGTTACTTGTGTAAAGTGTCGCACAATTGTTACGTTAATAATTGTAGTACAAATAGGGAATATCTCGCGCACGTGATGTAAAAATGTAAGAGTAGACCTAAAAAGTAGTAAAATCGTGAAACGTAAACATTGTAGAAAAGTTTGAAACGAAAAATTAAAATTTTGTTTTCAAATAGTAGCGAAAAATTTATGGATTAAAAAAAGAATGATAAAAATTTCCTCATACGCATTCTCGGGTCTTAAGCTCTGGTGTTTGTATGATTCGTCGTCCTTATGTTAGTTCGTCTATGATTATCTGTCAATAAGAAAACAATTATATTTCTAGTAGACCGTCGTGTTATAGTCCTGAAGGCACTGTTCAAAAGTTTATTGTATTTCTTGGATTATAACGGATTCTCACAAAACTTCTTCGAATGATGCGACAAGGAGAGTCGTTATAAACATCGACATGATTGCACCTTCGGTCTATATCACAAAATTCAAAATAGAGTCTTAACTTGACAACCTATGTCACAATGCCAATGCCAATGTATTTGTTAGGTCTGTGATCGGTTAGGAATTATCATGAGCTAGCAAAAATCGATGTCAGAATTCAGGCTTATGATACGCAATGGCCGGTGCATTTCCATTTATTATTACAATTATGTCATATCAATATCGTATCATTATATTACATAAACGCTTATTAATTTAGAGGCACATTGCTAAGGGTCTCGGTTTTTCTTTTTTTAAGTTGCTCCCTACATTAATGAATTTATAACAATTAGCTAATTACGATTATTTAATACGACAGCGATTTGGCATACGATTGGAAATTGTACAAAGATTCAGAGAATGCAATAGTTTTTTTTTAAAATAAAAATATTGCTTTGTACATATATGTATATAGAGAAGTGAAGTGACAAACGAATGATGGATCTTTTTTTTTTGAAAAAAATATCAATATGTGTCGAGATAGTTTAGCGATAATATTTGAACTTAAAATTTCTTAAAATTAAGCGTAAAAAAATGTCATGTGCTAAAAATAATAAGAAAACTCTATATATATAGATGCTATAATGATTTTGCTATCAGATTTCTTTATCTAAACAGGAAAACTTTGGCTACTGCTACACGCTATTTGTACTTCGGCGAAAAAGGACCGAATTTACGATTCTTGCTAAGAACACTGATTGCGCATTTAGAAAAAAAAGAACAGCACGCAGCACATACAGTACCTAAATCAGCAACAGATCACTTATATGTTTAGGAAGACCTTACTATATATATGCTCACGCCTTAATAAACCTGAATTCTACGCACGATTGTAATGTCAGAGAAGCATTCACTGTACTCAGAGAGTGTATTTCTTACCGGAATGTTTGAACGTGATTTTTCTTTTTTTTTCCTTTTTATTTATATACAGCATTGGACTATTCGCATTATTTGCGCTCATAAATTATTTAAAAGATTTTAATTTTTTGAACATTTAAGTTCCAGAATGCTGCTCTGAGATATGAATGCTCTACAGAATGTACATAGTAGACAGCAAAAGCGTCTAGACCACAGAATGTTTACATTTGCTCTAATGCAAAATATCATTTTCTTTTTTTCTCGAGCCACAAAAAACAGGCTGATGCAATGGCAGATACTATGTATTAATATATAAAAGTTAGCTTTACAATATGTAAAACCTGATAAAGTTCTTAAAAAATCTAAAGAACATTCCCTGAATAAGAGTAATCACACCATAATTCAGTCCTCTAAGCATACTTTGATCGTAGAACGCATCAAACAATTTCTTTCAAAAGAATTAAAATTTTCTAGAGTATAATCGGTTTGTGATATATTTTCACTAATGTATGGTTCCGTCATGGTACCAGCCTGGATCTGGTCAATCAAATCATGTAATTCCGTAGAGTCTAGACACAGACATTTCTCTTCTGCATCCGTACAAATGAGCCGCTAAGATAGATCACAAAAAGTACGGAGTGGGCGTTAGAGGTGGAATTACTCTCTCGGAATCAGGCACTGCCTGGAACAGCACGGGTGTTCTTTGATCTACTGTTGTGAATTGCATGATACTAGCTATGTTACCACATCGATAACAATAATTTGGAGCTGACCACACTGTGACAAGTTTATCATTAAACATGTACCTATAACCTACAAGAGAAAAGAATGTATGTACATTATCAGTATATATTTTCAAAAAATTACTTCAGATTATAAAATATTAATTTAAATATTTGTATTAAGCAAAGATATACCTTCCTGAACTAATTGGTGTGCCCTACAGATGAGTTTAAGATCATTCACTTCCATGAACATATAAGTCACTTTACTGCCAAATAACCAACCTGCGCCACGTGGACTTACTGTCCATGTTTCTACATCCTCTGGATCAGACCAAACCAAATCACAGAAAGCACCTGTAATTAAACGAAGAAGTTTAATTATTATAATATATTATACACGTTATTATCTGACAATAATACAATCTATCCAAGTAACAAAATTTTTATTTTATGAAACACTGAAATATTATGTTACACATTTAATACCTTTGTGTGGAATCTCTTGATTCCTTTCGATCGTTCTAATTTGATCTAGTGTTCTAATAGCCGGAGACAATCCACCATGTACACAAAGAACCTGTTCATCAATTAACTGAAACAGAATTTTATTCAAATATATTAAAATATCAAAAATTATAATTTTTAAAAGATCTTTTATATAAATACTCACGGCAGCAACTGTGAGCAAGTCAAATACCCTACAACAGTACTTCCAAGCATTAGCATTGCCATACTTGTTTTGACATTCATCTAGAATAGAAAACAAAGAAAATAATATGAAATCAAAGCTTTATTATATACAAATACAAACAAGTCACTAGAAAAGGAAATAACATTGTATACTTACCATAAAATCCATAAACATGCGTAATTTGTCTAGATTCATGATTACCACGTAGTAACGTTATTCTGTCAGACCATTTAGCTTTAAGTGTGAGCAGACGAGTAAATGTTTCTAAGCTGTAGTAGCCCCGATCGACAAAATCTCCCAGGAATATATAATTTGTATCTGGTACAGGGCCACCATTGCGAAATAGTTCCTCTAAATCATAGAACTGCAATAGCACAAAATAAATAATCTGAAGTATATTTACATAACTGTACAAATAACTATTAGTATAGTTAAAATATAAAGATCAAGAGTGATTTTAAGATAGATTATAATACAAATAGATCTGAAGACACAGTAGTGTCTCGGCAAGCACAGCGACATTACCATGTTCCTTTTAACAATAAATGGATGAATATGATGAATTTGTTGCGACGCTAAAACGTTGCGACGTTCGGAAGATTAAAATCTTAAAATTTTATCGATTCTATAGCGACAAACGATGATGCTCTGATTTTGAGGTTAGGATGTATATCCGAAACTTACCTGACCATGTATATCGCCGCATACTGTCACCGGAGTGGATACAGGTTGGATGTTTGACTCCTCCAGTAATAAATCACATACCACGTCACAGAGTTTCTGTCGACAAAAGTTAACGCGATAAGTAACTCAGGAAGGGCAAAACGCGCTGCGTAGGTGAATAATTCAATCAGCGTTTGTGTGTTCGCACGGCCGTGCGAACATTTATCATGCAGAATACGGCATGACCGGCACACATCGTATAAGTACAATTTACCTTGAGATCATTCTCGGGCAAGTATTTGCATTCTTTCGCGATATCTATCCATTTATCGATGTCTGACATTTTGAAATCACACAGTAGGAAAATACCAATACTGATCGCGCCCTCATACAGTTACGTCTCTGTGCGCGCCCAATGCTGCTGGATCTTAGGGTAAAATCACACAATGCGGAAGGCATTCCACAGGACTGTGGAATAGAGAATGCATCATCATTGGCTGCGTTTAGCAGAACATTTATTTTGGAATTTTTTTTCGTGCTGATTGGATCCGTTATGCTTTTCAAGAAATTTTCAATGATTCTATCTCAGCAGAGAATTATAAGGGCGCATTCACACCTTGACAGAAAAGCGGAAAAGCAGCAGCCAATCAGAACTCTAACTGGTAGTCTATAATTTCGGCTTTTTGTGTAAGGGACTCCGCACAATAAAAGGAATAGGGAACAGAGAACAGAGAATAAGAATTTCAATCTATCAGAAACTGTGTATTCCACAATACATGATTTCTGATAAGTTGAAATTCTTATTCTATATTCTCTGTTCCCTGTTCCTTTTATTGTGCGAGACACAGTATTAACCTAACCCCTAAGACACAGCGTTACATTGTGTCATCTGTGTACGTTGGAAAATACCCTTTAATCCACCCAATATTTTGTTTCGCAAAGCAGTTTCGGACTTTTTTTGACAGATTCTTTCATTTTACGCAAAAATGTGACGAATAAGCATAATTTCATCGAAATCGAACGTGAGGAAGCCCTTCTGTAGAATTATCCTCAGGATGCAAACCCATGCAGCAGAGTAGCGGAAATGTGGAACGAAAACATAACCACGAGCATTCCGCAGTTTTCATTACATGGTTTCGAATTCCTTCATCTCCATGGAGCGCAATGAACGTAAGCGGAATCAACAACAACCCAATCAGAAATAGTTCCTCGAAAAGACGTCGTTATGAAAAGTTGTCGATTCGAAACTTGCATCGAAATTTCAACATTTTCGAGTGATAAAAAATTGCGTAGAGAGTGTAATATATAGAGTGTAATATATATAGAGAGTAATATATATAGAGAGTTTGATATATATTTAATATTTTTGGTACATAAATTGTTAATGGTACATAAATTTGTGATACATAATCTTATATTTTGAATATTTTCGTTCAAAAGTCAAATTGACATTTTTTTCGATTTCGACAATTGCAATATCGCTGTAATCATAAAAGCTTTCTCAAAATTTTTCAGAATTTATAAATAATTTTATAACTTTTTAGAAAAATGTGAATTTTTTTTATACGAATCGAAACATTTTTTATAACTATCGATAAAGTCTACATCTTTTCTTCTAGTAATTCTTTATATTATTTTATTGTTCTATTTCTGCTGAATAACATTACTTTTATTTGTACTTTGTAGTTCATTTAATATAATTTTATTACGTATTCATTTTTGTATTGAGGAATTTCAGGGAATAATATCTCTTACTATAAATGCTGACAATCTCTTATCATAAATGAGCACGAAATTAAGGAAAAATATTATCGATTCTATCAAAATCTAGTTAGATTAATTAATTCCAGCTCGAATCGATATCGATTTTTAAATTAATGAAATTTAAAAATTTTCTTCACCACTATTACGCTATTAGTGACACTAATAATATATTTTTATGCTGACTAGATCAATTCGAGATTTTATTTCCAACTCGAAAATTAATCGAAATTTGACCCAAAAATCCATTAAAATCAATAGAAATTTCGAAAACTTTCGACTTTTATTTTCATCATGAAATGATGTCTTTTCGAGAAATTATTTTTGACTGGGAAGTCCATAAATGACGTTTAAATATTGTATTCATTTTTTATTATCATGTATCTAAGTACAGAATTAAATGTATTTCTCATTGAAAATAATGATTAAAGATGTTAAAATTTATGAAATCTTAATGTGATTGTAAATTTTATGAAATAACAATTTATGATTGATTGCGCAAAGTCTGCGGTGCGCTCATTACGCTACATGGATATTGGGGGTTCACGTTTCAACATAACAAAACTGGCGGAATAACAACGTAGTGTACAGAGATAAATTAGTACAGATAAATTAGTGTACAGAGATAATTAGTAGAGTACAGAGATAAATTATTAGGTTATCCAGAAGACACTCCTTACCTTCAATTTCGAATTATGCTCATTGATGCGGTATTATGTGATCGCAGCGTATGTCGCATCGCAGTGTTTCGTGGCTATGACAGATTTTCTAACCTAATTAGTCGTCAACTGTAACGATTAGTCTCACTTTGCGGAACTAGGCATAACATTTAACATTTAACTTTAAAATTCTTTCGTTTTATGCAAAAACGCGTCAAACGAGCATAATTTCATTGAAATTGAAGTTGAGGAGCGTCTTCTGGATAATTACCTAATAATTTATCTCTGTATTCACTACGTTGTTATTCCGCCAGTTTTGTTACGTTGAAACGTGAACCCCCCATGCAGCCCCCATATAATGAGCGCATCGCAGACTTTGTGTAACCAATCATAAATCATTATTTCATAAAAATTTTATAATCACATTAAGACTAATTTTATAAATTTTAACATTGTTTTTAATGAGAAATGCATTTAATTCTGTACTTAGATATATGATAATAAAAAATGAATGACAAATATTTAAACATCATTTATAGACTTATTGTTGATTCCGCTTACGTTCATTGAGCTCTATGGAGATGAAGGGATTCGAAACCGCGTAACAAAAACTGCGGAACACTCATAATTGGTTCTGCTCTCGTTCCGCTATTCCGCATGGGTTTGCACCCTAATTTTGTCTCTGCTGAGAGAGGACATGACGTTTCAAAATCTGTAACCGTAAAATGCTTGTGGCTATGTTGTGGATACTGTGCCATGTGGCGCCGAGCGTGTCTGAGTACTGACGACGGCTAATTAATGGCGAAAGAAAATTGACGGGAAATCACTAAGTTCGCAAAGAAATGTTACTCATTGATTCTGACTTATATGCTATAAAGTGGTTTAATATAAACTCAAATGAATATTTAGAACGTACAGATTAAAAGAGACGTAATTGCCTGCATATGTCGGCTCGGTATCGCATTACTAGGTTGAGAAAACTCAAAAATCTACAATATAAGCGTTTATCTAACAACGCGAGTAATTACTTTATGACATGAGCAGTAACTAATGTCGATCTTGCAATGAACATAAAGATTATCAATCTTACCAAGCGCTAACTAAAATCTATCACTGAGACTTACAAAAAATCCGCACACAAAACGCCATGACACCAGAGAGAGAGAGAGAGAGAGAGAGAGAGAGAGAGAGAAGAGAGAGAGAGAGAGAGAGAAACCGGAAAAAAAATTGACTCGAGCGTCGCAATTAACGCTTGCAACGCCATAAGCATTTTGCGGTTACAGATTTTGGGCCATCATGTCCTCTCAAGTTTCTCTCTGGTATTATACTTTCAGACAAATTTGGCAATGAAATTTATTTATATGTATATATCATTTGCTACAGCAAATCAGTGACTGTATTTACACGTCATCCTTAATCGAGTTTAATAACATCTGTAGTTATTATAAAATTGGTCAATCACAGTTGTTCCATTTGTTACATCCCTGAAGGGAATTCGATCGGTCCCCGAGTTCGATCCAACCTGAGGATGGTGGGGTACAGAATTCGTGGTTCCGGAGCTACGATTGATTTTATCCAAGTTGCTGATTGATTGGATATATACGAGCGTTAGAAATAACGATTATGATCGATTCTGAATCATTCCATGCCTGCTCTCCCGTTCCTCTCATATATACGAGGAATCTTTCTAAGATTCCAGGGCACTCGGAGCAACCTGTGATCGCGCGAAGGGTAACGAGTATTAAAAAGCACGCGTGGCAAATCTCAAACCACTTGGGGTAGTCGAGGTAATGTCGCAAAACCTTAGAATTCTCCTTTTCGTGAATAGGTAACGAGGTATAACAGTCAGTGCATTTAATCGTCTCGTTCTCCTTATGCTGATAAAATAAGGCGGATGCGTAGCAATCATTATCAACGCGACGTAAGGATTGACCACTAGGAGTTAAGCGTCAATAGCGCGCGAACGCGGGAATACGGGGCACATGCTCTGTGGTTCATTCACGACGAGGTTTCAATTATTGTAGTAAAATAGAAAAGTAAAATAGAAGTTTTGTTATCTGGAAATGCTCAGATGAATGCTCTACGGTGCTTCCAATTGCCAGCAAAAAGGAGGGGAAGTGATTGGAATACCAAGGCCTCTGTTGCTTCCTGGGCGAGTTCGGCTGCTGATTTCGATCGCACTAATAGTCATGCATGATCGTTGGTATTTTGCAACGAATTATATTGTCGATGTTAATAATTAGCAAGAAGATGGGGATAACCACTAAGCACTCTTTGATTAAGGTTAAGTAAGTATATATTTTAAAACAATTCATTTCAATACATTTCATTATCAAGATGATAATTATTTCTTACGCGAGAGTAGTTTAATTTAAATTGGATTACGAACTAGGAATTAGAACTTGTAATTATTAATAGAATTAGAAATTGGAACAAAAGAGAGTTGTGTTCGGACTTAGAATAATAATTCACACGCGGCGCTTAACTTAGAGCGGCGAAAGTGACCGGCTAATGGAAGGAGATTGAATCTCGCGCATCTACTCTAAGTATCGCTCACTGCTGCTCTTCTGATCTCTCTTTTATGGGCGTCCCTAAGATCCCCTTCCATCGATCGTGCCGCCGTTGACAGATATGGGGAGAAGCGTCAGATACATTTCTAAAGGTGCCGCGTGTACCACTCGGGGCTGTTAGTAAGTTTGTTCGGAAAAGTCATTGGACAAAAGTGAAGTTATTCGGACGTGATACATTCTTTCGAGGAATAGCTATAATTTCATAACTACAGATGTTATTAAATTAAATGTTAAAACAAATGTTATTAAATTAAGAATAACGTTAAATATAGTCATTAATAATCCATATAAAGCGATTAGAAAAGAAAAAAAGCAAAGATGGCATTTTTGGAAATTGCAAGACTTAATGACAAAAATAATGAAGCAAAAGCTATCAAATAGATTTATACTTTGATCTAAGAATAATTTAAAATGATACTCTTGTGATTAGCTTTATAAAATTATTTTTAGACAATAGCCACCATTGATGGATTTAACAATCCAAATAATAATAATACAGCAAGAGACAATTCTCATAAACGAATTTATAATGTAATCATTGTCTATATATCTATTTTAGAATTTAATCTTAGGATAAGAAAGCGTTAGAAATACGACTTTTTCTTTTTTTCTTTTTTTTTCTTTATGTTTCGCTTTTTGTAACCCTTATCCATTTATCTGGATGAAGTCCCCTTAAGATAAGAATAGAAATAAGACTTTCTAAAAATAGAAGATCTGTTAATAATTCAATAACTCGAATTTTCTAAAAGTATTTGCGAACCTTAAAATAGAGAGCGCTTGAAATAAATAGGCAGTTCTGCGAGACCGGTCGCATCTAAAAATGAAAATTGTAATAAAGTTAATTTTGTACAAGAATTTTGTATCAAGAATAAAGAGTTTTTATTAGAAAAAACATTATTGCGAATCTTACAATTGGTGGTGGCTTACAGCGATGTGGGACAATAAATACATAAAAACAGTAAAGTTTAAAGTATTTTAACTTTGAGACATATACTATAAGAGTAAGTCAATAAGTTTTTAGAAAATCTATCAGAGGGCACTCGCAGTGTCATGTCACATTATTTTTTGACAAGCCTATCTCTTAGTTGATTGTCAAATTTTGAGCGGAATTCATCGCGTAGTTTCATTTCTGTAGACGATTAAAGCGAACAATCTTTTTTGCAAAATGGAAAAAACCGAGTTGCAGTAATCAAACATCTACATATGAAAGAAATTAACACCGAAAAAAATCAAAGCCAAGTTGAATGTAATATATGATAATGTTCATAGCACATCTAAACCAGTGTTTGCGACCGTATGGGTGAATGAATTTAAATGTCGTACATCCACATGTGATGTACCTCGTTTGGGACGTTCAATTGAGGCTACTATGCCAGAAATCATCAATAAAATCCACGATTTTGACTGATTGACGAATGAAAATATGCGAACTCGTTGAGGCCACTGACATATGGCACAGTGATTTTAATTTTGAACAAACAATTGGGTATGAAAAAGCTATCGGCAAAATGGGTACCGCATTTGCGCTCACTGTGGACTGTAAGCGCGATCGTGTGACGATTTCAAAACAATGTTTGGAGATGTTTCAACATAATCTAGATGAATTTCTGCGTCGACTTATTACTGTGGACGAAACATGGAACCATTATTTCATACCCGAGACGAAGGAACAATCAAAACAATGGACTTCATTGGGAACCAGCTCCGAAGAAGGCGAAGATCGTAAAGTCGGTCGAAAAGATGATGGTCAGTTTTTTGGGATGCACGCGATATAATTCATATCGATTACCTTCCGTCGAAGCAAATGATCACTACGCAGCGATTACTACGCAGCCTTATTGGATCGTTTCAACAACATTTTAAAGAAAAAATGTCCCCATTTGGCGAAGAAGAAAGTGCTCTTTCATCAAGACAATGCACGGATTTACACGTATCCGGCACTGATGGTCAAATTCAATGAATTCCGCTACGAATTGCTTCCCCATCCAACATATTCGCCAGATTTTGCCTTCTGCGACTATTTTCTGTTTCCAAACTTGAAGAATTCGGAGGAAACAGATTCACCATCAGAGAGCATCTCATCGCCGAAACAGAGGCTTATTTTGAAGAATTGGACAAATCATATTATTCGGCTTGAGAAAGTTGAAGAATCTTTGGATCAAGCTGAAAAGAGACTATGTTGAGAAATAAAAATGAATCGAAAAACTAAAAAAAAATGTGTTTTACTATGTTTTTCTAAAAACTTATTGACTTACTCTCGTAGTTACACTAGTTACTTCCGAGAATGACTCGAAGATTATTTCTATTGAACTCAACATCAAGATTGAATAATTCAGACGTGAACAAATTACAGAAAGATAAGATCAATTCCTTCCGATATCTCTTTTGACTCAAGCGCAAACATTAATATACTAGAATCAAAAATCTTCGTAAGTGCTCCAATGTCGCGCGCATAAAGCCAGTCTCGCGAATGAATGCTTACTTTAAATATATTAGCAGAACAATTAAAAGTTACGGAATTAAAAGTTACGGATGTTGTGCAAGTGCTTAGAGATCAAATGAACAATTTGCAAATAAATCCATCTGAATTTCATTCCGGAAGCAATGTCGGCGACTGTTCAATCAGAGAATCCCGAGATTTTAATAAACACATACGACAAAGCAATGCATCTAATTCCGGAATTCGATGGACTCAACGTCGAATCTTTTATTGGGCACATTTAAGTCGCAGTGAAGCGACTGGCAGTCAATCAACACGAACTACTTTGCGGCATCATCGTGCAGAAACTCACAGGAAGAGCGAAGGGCAAGAATCGATGTTACGTCAAATTTTCGAAAAAATGGAATACCTGTTCGGAAAAACTCAAAATTTCACTGCACTGAAAGTACAAAGAGACATGTGTACCCAACGATATAATGAAAATATTGATGAATTCATAAATCGTTTTCTCCGAATACATGATGACACAATGATCATCACAATTAATTCGCAAAGCAACGGAGTCGCGACCATCTGTATCCAAGAGGAATTTTGCCAACGAAAGTTCATCGAGATTTTCTGCCGTAATGTAAAATCAGAAATTGGAGATCACCTCTATTGCTTCGAGACACTCTAAATCAAGCGTTTTCGAAAACGAGAGCTTTCGAAAGAGAACTCTAGTTAAGAAGATTATGCATACAACGCAATAAAGTTTCAAGGAAATTTATTCAAAAACTCCGGTCTCAACATCAAGAATGTGGCTACTGTAAAAGGCGAGGAGTGAAAAAAAGAAATGTAGAACCAAAGCATTCCACCAGCAACGGCTAACAAAATTTTCACGAGCATCATCTTCTCATCATTCGATCACCAGACCAATCGATCACCAGACCAAGCATCGTGTCCTTCACATTCAATCGATCGAGCCCTGGAGCAACACATCAACGAGAGATTTATCAGGAACCTGGCGGAACTTGCATCAGAGCACCCAGAGTTATCTTAAAAATACCAGATTTTAAACAAACAATTTTTTTAGTAGACACGGGTTCGGATATATCTTTAATTCAAATGAAATGTTTATTGAAAATAAAAATTTATCCAAGATAGATTCGATAATAGTATACGGCATCACGACACATTCTTTGAAAATTAAGTACAGAATAATTGTAGAAATGTTCGAAGAAAAAAATATTTATTTCATTAGATGATTATTCACCAGTTAAACATTAGGGCATACCATAGGTATTGGAGGAAACTCAGATTCGTAAATAACAATGTTTGTTTATTTATGAGTACATACAATATATTATCGTGACAATGTACTCGACTTGATTCTTCTTGTCTTGTCTTTTGTAATTAATGACTCTGATCCTCGTTGACGAGCTAAACTTGGTCAGTCATTTCCCAGACATCTCCAACCTTCCACAGGAGTCAAAGTAGAGACGAAAAGAACTAGAATTAGAAAGAGCGTCAATCCCTCCCCCTCTCCTTCTCACCCGGCAAAAAATTCTATCCAGGGCGAACCGAACCAAGCCGTGCCACTCCTGGCCGAACCGCACTCAGACGCCCAGAAGAGAGGAGGAAGAAGGAGAGAAGAAAAATAGAAAGGGGAGCTCAAATCAAATTGCAGAGACTTGAAAAAGGAGAGAAATCTGCAAATTTTAATCTGAGAGTCTATAAGCATAGAGAAAATATCATTAGGATATATCATTAACGAGGAAAAGTTTTCTTAATAAATTTATTAAGGGGGACGAATCAGCTGCGAGATAAAGGGCAATAAAAAATTACATAGCATCCTGTCTGGGATCATCGCACGTACAGGCTAAAGAATCCACCATGTTTTTTCTATGCAAGTTGAAGTTTAAGTTGTAATGGTTGGAACGAAGTCTGTCAAGACAATCTCCTGGCGGTTGAGTGACTTTTCCTGGAACCATGTCATATTAGAGGAATTAGCGTAAAGCGAGGTGTAATGTTGTCCTGTAGTTTTTGAAGCGTCTTCGAAGTATTATTAAAACGAGAAATTGACATTTTGTTGGCTTTCAGGATCAGGTCAGAATTAGGGAGTTTAAAGTTGTCTCTTTTCTCTTTTAAGATGGCCTTCTTAGTCGCCTTATCCGCTATTTCGTTGCCCGGAATACCACGATGAGCTGGGATCCAGACAAGAGTGATGTTGATGCTGCTATAAGAGACAGCGAGGAGATGCTTGATTTAGTGTATGATATAGTTAGAATTAATAAGACTATTAGAGCCAATAGATTCCAGGACGCTCTTAGTCAGAAAAAAATCACTGCCTTGGAGTAACTAGTATCCTGAATTAAAATAAGCTATTGGAAGATCGCCCAGGCTTTTGCTGTAAACACGGTAGCCTCTGAGGTCAACCTGTATTGGAAACTGATCCGAGCTCCGGAGAATAAGTTGCCGCCCCTGCGTACCCCTGCTCTTCCATTTTGGAATCGTCTGTGTAGAAAGTAAGTGGTTGAGTTTCAGAGATCAATGGAATTGTCTAAGAATTCCTGTTTAATAGCATAGTCAGCTTTTTCTTTGTTGTCTGAAATAATTTGCTTATAATCTGGTCGGAGAATAAAATCAGAGTAGGAAATTTAGAATGCAAGGTGAAAGATGGATTAAAAGATTATTAAAAGCATGTTTATTAAGGATGTAATATTTGAAGGATACTGAGAGAGCTCTTGATTTTTCCTCGGGTGACAAGACCATTTTTTCCATAGAGCTGAAGCTGCGGATAATTGGGTTATTATTCCTAGACATAGATTTCAACACGTATTTTTCAGACATAACAACAAAGTTTGAACAAGAGTTTCTTGGCTTCAAAGAAACTTAGAAAGACGTTGATGGATGACTCTGTAACCTAGGGTAATTTTAATCGCTTGTATTGAAGTCATTCTAGCTGTAGGAGAAGCAATTTCTTATTCTGAAAAACAAAAATCTGACAGTCATATTCGAAGGATATCTCTCTACCTCTAAACATCACCATTATTTCTACCGATTTGGCGCCACTACTGAATCAGATACCTTTGGCAGTGATCACTTCCCTATCAACATAACCATTGGCTTCTCTTGTCTACGACTTCTCTTGTCTATGTCTTTCTATACAAATTAATCCTTACTATCTACCTCCAAGGAATTTTTGTAGCAAGGTTCCTGTAGACTCTATTGAGGCATATAGAATATTTTGCAAATCATTTACGAAACCTTACGAGATTGCTCTTCCCTGAAAAACAACGATTTTCTAGGTCAGTCCCAGCTCCCAGTGACAGGTCCTCCTTGATGGACGGAAGAATGCTCCAGAATCATTCTAAGTCACAGAAGAGTCGCAAAAATATATTAGCAGCCCATCTATCGAGAATTTCCTTTCATTCAAGAAAGCAAAAATATCATGCACTAGGACTTTATACAAGATTAAGAAGAGACAATGGAAGAACTTCGTAGAATTATTTGACTGTAAGACTCCTACCAGTGACATATGGCATTTAGTTAAAGCCTTCAAAAGACGTAATCTATCAGAACTTTCCAGTATGATTTCAGATGACGACAGGCAAAATAACCTTCTAGAAAAGGCAAAGGTAAAATTTGTCCTCCTTTCTGCCCTATGAATACTGGCAAAACCTTGTCATCAATGATTGCAAAAGACATTCATCCGAAGACGTTCAACAGTTTTCAAAGATCTGAATTCGCCCTTTTCCACTAATGAGTCTAGATCAAATCAGTTATACAATGCTTTGCCAACTAAATACAAAGAACTTTTATTGAACTTATTCAACTACTTTTTAGAGAGAACTATACTACCTTCCTGGAAGACCTCGCTCATCATCTTCATTCCGAAGGCGAATAATTCTGTTTTCGCCCCACTTCTCACTTCTATCATGTACCCTCTTGCTTTCTTTGAGAAGATTGCTCTTTTAAGCAATGGCTGGTGTAATCGCAAGCGACGTTACAAGAACAAATGGATTTTAGACTTAACAGGTCGTGCACAAACAACTCTCACAAACAACATCCATACAATTTTCTGGTGAATGAAGTCGTCGCGGCAGCTTTCTTGGACATAATAATTGATGCTTTTGACAATGTGTTCTCTGAAGCGGTCCTTTCTGAGACTCAAAAAATTGGATTCCCGCAAGACTTCGCAGAATATATTCAAAAAAAACATTATCACTTATGGAAGTGTACACTTAATTGAGCAGGGTCATTTCAGCTACTTACTCTGTACATAAGGGAACTCCTCAAGGTTCGACGCTCAGCCCGCTACTTTTCAACATTAGTGTTCGAGATGGATCTTCAACTACATCCTGGAACTTTTTTGTAATAACTTCTTTAACTTTTTGTAATATGCGAATGATATTGTGTGTATACTCTTTTTCGAGACAAGTCGAAGAAACTGTTACTAATCTCCAATTTTCATTTATATGATTTATTTGTACCTTTCGAATAAAGATCTGGAAGGAAGTTATCACCAACCAAATCTTATTTTCCAACAGAAAGCATTCCCTTAAAGAAGATTCTAAAAATCTTTATCCACAATTATTTAGTGGAGAGAGTCCTTAGCTAGAGTCTTTAAGATTTCTGGTGTTTTGGACTGCAGGCTCAGAGAAGAAGATCACTTCAAGCAGGTCGTCAAAAAAGGAAAATCACTGATTAACGTTCTATTATCTTTGGCACGGTCTGGTGGGATTTTCACTCTCAGCTGTCACTTACCATCTATAGAGCTGTTAATTACA